CTGTGTTTGGGTCCACTGTGAGTTCACAAGCATCTGATTTAGAGGACATGAAAAAATAGAAGAGTGTAATTTATGTTAATGTATGTAAATAAATATAAATAAAGTAAATATGTTCATCCAGTTGTTTTACTAATAAAACTCAATGTCTGAACTGGGCTAGTACTCACATGTACTGAGTACCCTCACTTCTAATTGCGTGCCAGAACCTGGTGAGCATGACCGAGCTCACCAATGAGATATCTTTTCCTATCCCAATATATTTTAAGTTTCATAGTGACATGAGGCTGAGGAGGCTGGAATCATTTACACATAAATATCAAGTGACACTGTGTTTACTTTCCTCACTGAGAGAGCTGACAATAAAAGCTTAGCTTTGGGAAAGAAGGAGAAATGGGACAACATTAGAAAGTTGAGAAAGAAAGAAAGAAAGAAAAAGGGTGATGGAGATGAGAGAGTAACAGTCGGTATTGCCCACTGTGCAACAAACACTGACCTAATACAATTCAAACTGTTATTACCACAGAGATATAAATTATGTTCTTTGGTAATTGCAGTTGTACCTATAGGTCTAATTTAACAACAATATAAACATCTAGCATAATTCTACTGTAATAATATAATATTATTATATAACAAACATTTTGCTTCTGTTAATGTACTACTTGAGACACATTTCTATTATGTGTATATCATTTCACTCAATTATTTTTATCTATACTGTTTGAAAAAAAAAGTAAAACAGCACTAAAAATGTGTAAAAATGTATAATAAACACCAAAGGAATGATGTTTAGGTTAATGGTTGTCCTGCATTAGGGCACTGGCACCTTTTTTGGTACATTTTAGGCACTGATCACATTGAATATAGACTTACACTTTCTCACACCAGGTTTTAATCTCTGCGGTCCACCATGGTCCACCCTGAAACAAATCATTGACCTTCTGTTTACAGGATTTTCTATCTAGCATTAGTCTTCATTAAAAATAATGCAGTTTTTCTCATGTTTTCAGTGTAACAAACAGTGTAAGAAATCCACGTCCATACTTAAGTGTGTCCAGTTTCCAGTTGGGATCTTCTCCGTCGCAGCAATCCAGCTGCATTACTGCAGCCGTCTCCTGATGATTGTACTCAGGTCCAGCTCCCTCCAGGTAAGGGGGGTTAAGCTAAGGACTTTGGGCCAGAGAAGCACAGCCTTCTTCTGAGACCAGACAGCCTGACAACCTACACATACACATAATTAGTTTTATGATATTACATCAGATTTTTAAAAAAGGAGTTTTGTGAACTTTAACTTGTTTTATTCAATGTTTAAACTGAATAAAATGCCAAAATGCTCTGTGGATCGCAGTCTTGGTCGAAAGTGGTGCTGACTAAAACTTTAATAAAACTATAGAAGAAAAAAAAGAAAAAATCTAAATTGTTAACTAAAATGGGCCGGTCTGAGGCATGAAACTCCTGGACTTAAAAATGATTCTCACTCCAGTCCTGATTATAACCATCCTATAGATGGGATGGATCCATGCTGAATGGATTGTACACAGCCCCTAAGGGGACGTGCAAAAGACAAGAAAAAAGAAAATCTTTAAGTTTCTCATGCTATCTGGTGGTGCCCACGAGAAACTATCCTGTGTGCAGATAAGTCCCCGCCACTGAGAGGTTCCATGATGACAAGATAATCAGTGTTATTCACTTCACCTGTCAGTGCTCATAATGTCATGGCTGATCGGTGTATCCCTATGCAGTTGGCCAGATGTTTGATTATTCAGTGATTACTTATCATAATGCAGTCAAATGCTACCAGAAATTAAAACTGTCACTATCAGCTGACTGGTGTTATATATAGCATATCATATCATCTCTTCAAAACAAAAAGAGCAACATACACAAAGGTAAATATGAACTTAAGTTTAAGTTTAATTTTGCTGCAATAGGTTGGTACCAAAGCTTTGTTAAAAATCATGTGAGAAGAACATTTCTATAGATGTTGGGGCTCATCACTGACATTAACCAGCATGTAAAGCAGCATGAACAATTGACATCTCTCTGACAAACTGCTGACTCCTGACCTGAGAGTTTCCAGTGTGCAGTGTGGACTATTTAGTCCAGCAGAGAGCAGCGTCACTCCTGAATTCCCCCAAGGTCATTGTCAGCTGAGGTCCAGCCTCTCTTAGACTAGAGGACTGGGAGCTTGAGAACTGAGGCCAGAGCTTCACAGCTTCTCTCCGACAGGTTACAGTCACTCAGCCTGAAAATAAGTAAATGGGGTTTTCTCATCAATAAAATAATAAAATATGATATGTTAACCAATCTGATAGTCTTTCACAAAAACACACATTTCTGTTAAAATAAAACCTGTCTATGATTGTACAGAGTCCAGAAGTGCGTGTTGTGTCTGAAAATTGTACATAGATTATATCAAGAAGATAAGACAGAATTTTTTATATTAATATTTTGTATTGTCTTTCTCACTTACAGAGCTTTGTTGGAGGCTTTGACCACTGGCAGCAGCCTCAGAAGAGCCTCCTCTGAAGCAGAGTATTTCTTCAGGTCAAACACATCCAGATCTTTTTCTGATGACAGTAAGATGAAGACCAGAGCTGACCACTGAGCAGGAGACAGATTCATCTGTGGAGAGTCTTCCTGAACTCAGGTACTGTTGGAT